TTGTCTTGGTGAAATTAAGGCGGATTCCTGCAAGGTATGCCCTCTGAAAAAGAGATTGATTAAAACAACCAAAAATGGTACAAAACAGCAACTAAGTAGCAAGTATGTGTCAAAACAATCGGTTGGTTGGACACATCTACCGATTACGGGTTATTTTAACCAACTTCCCTCGCTTGCCTTGTCTCTATTTGCTTGACAGATAGCATTGAATTAATGCTGGTCTCGTTTTGCAGTCATAAATTCACAGCCAGATGCTGTATTCAAGATACTTTACAGTTCATAGTTATTCCCATCATAAAACATTGCAATTATACATGACATGTGGCCTTCAGAGTTATAGTATGTGACTGAAGTATGCAGTAGATTAACTGAGAAGCTAAAAGTGTCTTCATCATAGGATCGAATTGACAATCGTATACGTGATAAATAAGAGACGTATTTTGGGGCATAGTTTTAACGACTTGGGCATTGTATGCGGTGCTCAAATAGATGTAGTATATAATATCAGAACACCTGTGGTTGTCACCAGGCATTGACAAGGAAAGGGTAATATAGAAAGGACAAAGTAAACACATCAAACAACCAGATAAATCGGTGGCAAATTTCGTTTTGAACCTGAGTCCATTTTGATTTAAAAAAAAAAAAATTATGTTCCACCCCCCAATATTTCCTTCCGTCGTTTGTCAAGATGCATCGGTGTTCATGAAAACAAGATGCTATTATATCTCGATCTAACATCTTCATGTCTTTTTGGGGGTGTTAAACTGGATGGCTTGCACCGGAAATAGTACATTGGACGAGCGACGCTCAGGTAGACAAAGGCCTAATTGATAAACGTGCACAGTGTTGGTGCGGCGAGGTCGAGGAAACCTGATGTACATATTAATTCATATTCTTTGCTTCAACATTGTTGGAGCTAATTAATAATTAGCACTCCAATGATATTTCGCTTTCTCTGATCGGGTTTTGTTTTGCTGGCGAGTTGCATTCATTTCTATCATATTTCACTGGGCCTATATGACGGCAACTTGCATCCTTATATTTCACTTTCTGCCAATAAGCTGCATTTTTGTAATATTTCACTTGTTAGAAATGTATGCCGTCAACTTCACTTTTTGTACGGAACTGCAACCCGCAGCGTAGTCTTGCTTCCAAGACGTTACTATCTTTAGCTGTGTCCGCTTATTAATGAACGTGTCACGAGCTATACCAAGGTCGCGGTGGGGCCGCTGGATGGACGTGACCGCGCCGGCAGTCAGACAGCATAACATCAGCTCCACGGTCGTGCATTATTTGTGGGAAACAGTTAATCACCGGGAAAAGTACGCTTCGCTTAAATCTAAGGAAAAGTTCCCCTTCAGGAAGTTTCACGAATCACAAAGCTACAAACTAAAGAGATAGACAGGAGTATTTTGTGCGACTTTTCCAATCGAAAATTAAAAAAACATATACAGTCATCGTCAAGTATAACAGAATTGCTCAGGAAAACATACTCAGAAAAGACAAACCGGCAATCAAACGTAAACCCTGTTCCTTCCCCATCCCAGCCAAGGAAGAGAATTGCACTTACCAGTCCAGGAACACCGTCATCAAAGGTGAAATTTTGTGATGTCAGTGGACCGAAAACCTCTTTATCATTCTACACAGACCGGACCTCGACCTAGCACACCCAATCAGTCTTTAGTGAGTTTAATTTGAATCAAATCTGGTACACTGAGTTCTTTAAATTCCGTGAACATAATGATTTGAATTCTCCGTACTAAAGACACTGTTGCAATACCCCGTGATTTGGGGCAAGCTTTTACTTATAAGTTACATAAGATACAACTTGCCTCATGCGTAGTTTTCATTGGATAGGAAGGGTAAAAGAGAATCAGTCCATTCCAGAGATGGTGGTTGCTATGAAAAAAAACCC